GAACAGAGAGAGAGGAGTGGGTGGAAGAGAGTTTTTAGGCAAGTGGACGGATGAGAAGATAAGTCACAGGACTTGGTCTGGCATGGACGGGAGGAAAGGAGACGAGTGGAGTGTGGAGGCGGAGTCTTTGGGTCTATGTGTGTGTGTGTGTGTGTGTGTGTGTGCGTGGGGGGGTGCTCTTGCCTCTGATGAGGGGCACGTCCTCACGGGCGCAGGCCCATTTTTTATTTTTAAAAGTAAACAGGCAGCCTGCAGGGGTCTGGGGTTATGGGAAAGGAGGAAACAGTGATGCTAATCAGAGCAGCGCACACTTCCCCCTCCAACAATAAAACAAAACAAGAGTGGAAACACGGGAAAAACGACAGACAGATGAGGTGGAATGGACCGCAGTGGTTCCACGCTCCTACACTTTATCTGCATGGAGTGTTGATAGTTTCAAGGCGAGAGCTGTAGCACAGTTGACACACAGGGAAAAACAAGAAAAAAACCTAAAATAGGTTTTAGAATCGGACAAGTGTTTTACAAAGTTTTACAGAGGTTTTTTGTTAAAATGATGCGTTCAGTTTGTTTGACGGAGCAGGGACAGATCTGTAAACTGTGGGTTTGTGACTAAATTCTGAAATGGCAGCGGTTCCTTTCATTGCTTTAAGTTGTTTATGCAAATAAGATACAAACAAATAAGAGTGAACTGTTTGTGGTAAATTGGTTCAGACATCTGATGACTTCAGTGACTTTTCACATTTGTTTTACAGATCGATAGACGTTTATTAATCCCTCGGGAGTTCCCTACGGGAAATTAAGGATTATTAATTCAATGGTATTTTAGTTAGTCAACAATACGGGTGACAACTCACGTTGACTAGACAGTACTTATATAATGTGTAATAATGAAGAAAATTCAATACAATTAGAAAAGAAACTTCCAGAGAAAACACTCATCTGAGTCTTACGACAGAGTAATACTTGATAACGTGGTATTTCAGGACTCTGTTCTCTGAGTACATGTGTGTAATATTTTCTGTATTTTTCCTTCGCTGCTTCTATGGTGTGAGGTTGACGCACTCGGTTCCTGTTTGCATTTGTAAATTCACCGCACTGCTACACGTTTTATTTCTAGGAAGTTCCTGTAAGTTCCTTTTTGATAAGACGGTGACTAATTAGAAAACCCTCCGCTCGGAGAACACTCAGTCCTGAAACAAATGCAATCATTGACTGGCGATGATGCAACCGAGCACAGCGTGTGTGAGCCAACGCCAGAAAGGTGGAGCTGTGATGAATCCCAGGAGAGACTTCCCCATTGTTTAAATGCCCACACCAGGGGCTTAGTAACGTTAACAGGACGTCAGTCGCCGTGAACGTCCAGTCGTTACGGTAAAGGTGACACTGTGCTCTCAGCGTCATCTTTTTTTTTCCCCCAAAATTTTTCTATTCTGACTAAACCATAATCTACATCTGTTTGACTTGAGAAGATTTGAAAACCAAATGACGTTTGTGACGGAGTGCAGTGTGTTACAGTCGTGAGCAGCAGCAGAGCTGCGTCGCAGGGAAGGGGAGGGCGGGACGACCAGAGGGAGGTACGGGAGAGGCAGGGGGACTCGTACTGTAGGGGGGGGGGGGTAATTGAATTATCTGCACAATGGAGTGATGGGGGGCACGTGGTGCCGCTAATGGAGGAAGAGATGTCCTTTTTAGTAACGCTAATTGTTCAGAAAAAGGCTGAGCCTTTGTTCAGGGGCCTGGCTGCTCAGTCATGCACACACACACACACACACACAAACACACACACGCAGAAAAAAACTACGACATGTGCACACAGGCACAAACGCACCAAAAGGTTGGAGCCGTAGGCAGAGGTGCAGCTCAGAGAAGTGGATGAAGTTAGTAAATATTGTTGACTTCCAGTGCAACAAATATATATAAAATATAATATAATATCTGGGTTGAAACGACTGGATCTTATTTTTAATTTAGTATTTTTGGGTGTTTTTTTTGGCAGTATTTGAATATTATATCAAGTACAATAAATAAGTATTCTTAAGGATTAAAGGATCATCAAGAAGGCATTTACAGAGAAATTTGCTCTTCATTGTGAGGCAACAAATGCAGCGCGTTTCTAAAGTCTGTGACTAATCCTGTGAAATAATCCTGATTTCACTACTGACCAAAATAGTTGTGATTGTTGTTGTTTTTTTTTTTTCGCAATAGAGCAGCTCGAGTAATAAGCACTGTAGGTATCTGTTACCAAACTGACACACACACACACACATATGAGAGCCCAGCCCTCTGATCTCAGCAGGAGTGAGTCCAGTCACACTGTTTTACTGTCCCACTGTCTGCTCTCTCCTCACTCTCTCTCACTGTATATATCTGTGTGTGTGTGTGTGTGTGTGTGTGTGTGTAAATGAGTGACACATTCAGTAGAAGCTAAATGCTGTCCAATCAGCCACCAGATCTGTGTTCGCTGTACGTCTACAGGTTTGAAGAAAAGTTAAAAAGAAAATAATTCTGTGCATCAACAACGTCTTGCTTCTTTCATTGGTCCATTTCTAAAAAAAAACACGAAGCATGAAAGCTGTTTATTTTTGCTTTAAAATTGTAACGTTTGATTTCAATTTTTTTTAAGGAGTTAAAGGTAAAAAAAACCCCAACACAGTTCAATGATTGACAAAAAATGTAGTGAAACCGTGTGTCAAAGCTACGCTGACGCCCGGGAGACGTGTGTTAACGTGATTCACCGTTCAGTTCGTAAAATCAGACGCTCTTTGTCGAACATCTAGCACCTGTCTCAGAACTTCTTGACTCCTCGTACTCTCGGAGGTGTGTCACTCACTCGTGTCTCTGTTGAATGAGAAAGGAAAAAAAAAAGAAGGTTAGTGGAAAGTGTACGTTTACCAGAACGGCCCAGATGCTGGTTACTCCCTGAGAGGACGCAGACTCCGCAGACAAATATCTTTTGACAGCTGAATGGATTGCTCTAAATTGAATAACCTTTCAGTTAACACTGTGAAAAGCAGCAGGTGCAACAGTTACATTCATAGTCAGGCAGCGAACACAGATGTGCCAGAGACGAGGCGGCAGAGAGCAGCCAGGAGAGCGGCGTTGACTGCAGTGAAGCTGCTAAACTGTCAGAACTGCAGCAGCAGCAGCAGCAGCAGCAGCAGCAGCAGCAGGTGAAGAAACAGGACATTCAAACCAGAACCTGAAGAAACTGGGACACGTTGCACGTTTGTCGCATAGTTTTTGGTTGGTTGGAAATTCTTCTCTTATAAAGAAAATGAAATATTCTGTTTCAGCAATATTTCAGAAGTGTTTGTCGCATCGTTTTTGGTTGGTTGTCTTATGACAAGCTTAAAAAACAATTGAATGAAATATTCTGTTTCAGCAATATTTCTGCTCTCTGAGATTTTTTGTGCACTTTTTGTGTTTATTTTTTTTAAACGTGTGATGGCAGTGTCAGTGTCAGTATGTATCGATCCACTGATGAGGTCAGTCGGTGTGGCTGTAGGTTTTTTCCGACTGGAGTTCAGCATCTCTGGGTCGACCAGGTGTTTTAACCGACATTTATTTCAACAAGGAGACAGTGTTTTTAACTGCAACATATTGAAATTGGTGTCAAAGCTCTGCTCACTTTCTGTCTACTTTTTAATGCTTATAGTCTTATTTATTTCTTGGCTACTGTGACGGCGGTGTCCAAACTGTGGTTTACCCACACACTGTAAGTCACCCTTTTTCCCTGTCTTGAGTTTGTGGCTTAATTATGCAAACCCAACCTAAAGAAGTACGGGTCTGGTACCCAGTATCGTTACGATGTTACTTGTACTAAATACCACGTTTGTTCCTAGAATATTTTAATAGCTATAAATAAAACCGTTTCTGTTTCTGGTAAATTACTGTTTCTATTAGAAACGCTTGGCATTTCAAATGTAAAGAAGAGGGAAAAAAATGGCCTGATTGAAACACTTTATGGTGACGCCAGCTTGGATATTAGTCAGCAAGACCATCAAACCTCAAATGGCCGCCCTGAGGCGCAGTGGGACCCTGGCTGGTCCTTTAAAGAACAGATATGAGAGGGTTCATTAACAGAAGACAAAGAGGTCCAGTCAGAGAGTGTGAGACACTGACTGACTGACTGACTGACTGACTGACTGAATGACTGACTGACTGAATGACTAAGAAGACGCAAGAGTTGCTCTCCTCCCCCATTCTTGTTCTCCCCCCCGTGAGGCGACTCCACTCCACTCCACTCGCAGAAGCTGCGGATACACTCTCCCAGACGAGGCTCCTATCAGGCCAGTGAAACCTGATCCTTGGCTGCTAATGGAGCCAGTGAAGTACCACCGGTTTAAAAATCCATGTGTGATCAATACGCCTGGCTCCCCGGCCTCCACCCAGATCATCCCATTTAGAAATACACCAGTACAATATAGTATCACATTATCGATCCTCAGCATAGGCTGCTCCATACGACTCACCCTGATGAGGTTGTTTATGAGGAAGTTGGAAGACGTAACAAAAGAATGGACATTTTCTTTGTTTACACCACATTTTTTGGGCCTGTTTTTTTTTTTAAGCAGTAACTTCAATCAGAGGTAGTGTGAAAATGACTGTTAAATGATGTTATATGCCTCCCCTCCTCACTCCCGCCCCCTCCGCTCCCCCTCACTGTGGGAAGTTTTCCTTGTTGGCAGAGGTTTGGAGCGTTATTGTGGCTAAAACGCCCAGTCATTCTCCCATCATTGTATTTTTCCACGGCGGTGAAACTATTGATTTGATTTCCAGTAAGGCACTGTCATTGTACCTGCTCACGGAGATAAGGCCGGATAATTGTACCTTCAACCTTTGAGTCTGGCAGTCCTTAATATTCCTTTATAAACCCAAGACATAACCTACTTTTCTCTGAGGAGTCGTCTGTTTTTTTATGAAGGGTCGGTTACTTTGAATTGATGAGAAAAAGGTGAAGAGGAAACAACCAGAGGTGTTTATGAGCTTGAGTTACATGTTATGAGGGAACCTGGACGTGGAGAACATGAGGAACACACAGCTCAGCTGAAAACCATGGTCGTTCAGACAAACACACACTGTTTATGTCGCTCTATTTTAGGATCAGAGCCGTCTCCTCCTCACAGCTTTTTGCTCTCCTCAGAGAATCTTCATTGTTTTATCTACCTATCAGCGTGTAAAGACATATAATTCGCTGAAACACTCTGGTGTTGGTCGTTTCCTTCGGGGAATCTCGTCGACGGCTATTTTTGTAGCTAATTAATGACTGTTATTCCTGCGCTGTGATAGGACGGCCCTTCATGAATGAACGTACTGCTCTGAATCTGTTAATATTCCAGCTCTGCCTCCTTTAATGTGGTGAACGGTTCTCATATCTGCGCCGTGATTTTCACCCCACTGATGTGAAATGTGAGTAATTTGCGGGAACGTGTAAACTCACGGTGACGTAGGTTAAAGGGTCCTGGCATGAGAGGTGTGGAGGAATCGATGAGTGAATGAATGAGTGTGAATGTGTGTGTGTGTGTGTCTCTGAATGAGTGTGGTTGTGAATGAGTGTAAATGTGTGTGTGAGTGTGTGTGGCCTTATGTTTTTATCGTAATTTGTCAGTTTTTAGGATCATTTCTGTTGAATGACCCTGACATCACTACGTGTTCTAAAATACAATAATATGGACCGGAAATAGAAAAACTTTGTTTTTATGTTCAAAGCAGTGGTCTTCTTCAGGGGGTCCGCAACCCCCATGTGGTTCATAGAGGTACTGCTGGGGGTTGTATTTTTTTTTTTTTGGTAGTTTCTTTTAAATTATGCGTATGCTAATATGACAAGGTATTTTTTTTCAATGTATTTGACACCCAGTTTAATATAAAACAAATATATATATAAAATAAATAAATAAATAATATAAATAAAATAGGGGATCCCTGCTTCGTGCTTGGTTTAAAGAGCTTTTAACGCCCCTGTCCTAAAGCCTGGCGGGCGGGTAAGAATATAGACTACGATAGAATAAATGTGAGTTTACGTCCTAGCAAGAATGTGAATGCCTCACAAGAAAGTCAACCGGCAAGTCAGCCTCTCACACACGCACACACGCCAACTAACACCGCCCCCCCGGAGCTGTCGTCGGCGCTCGGTCTGTGTGCAATGCAACGCCCATCGCCACAGACAGAGGAAGGAGTGAGAGAGTGAGTGAGTGAGTTAGAAAGAACGAGGAAAGGAGGGAGCGCGTACATGTACCGGAGAGAGAGGGAGAGAGAGAAAGAAAGAAAGAGAGGGAATACGAGGCAGATAGAGTTAAAAAAGAAACTCAGTTTACCAACGGCCTAAAAGAAGGGCACTTGAATCGACCAGGTCGTCTGAGGAGGACAAGAATTCCACTCTTATTCCGTGTGGTGTTTTTTTTTCATATATATAATTTGGGGGCGTTAGAAATAAGGACAGGGACGCGGCGTTTATCAATCACAGCGATCTGATGATCATGACGGCAGCTGTCGATATGAAACCGACGTTAACCATCATAAAGTCTGAAAAAATGGACGGTGAGTATTTTCTTTTTTCTTTTTTTTCTTTCTGTCATCAGTCAGAGATTCGCGCGTTAACGTGAGTTGTTTGTTTGTTTGTTTTTTTGCTGTATGTTTGTCCCGTTGTTGTCAACTGACGGACTGACGTTATAACAGAGACTCAAGTGCTGGGTCGATCACAGGGACATAACGTTCTGATATGTCAAGTGTGAAGACGCGGTTGCTCAATATTGGACAGCACTCGTGGAGAATTACACGCCTGAGGGTTTACACACTGTTGGAAACGGTCCATCCTTCATGTTCGTGTATTTATGTGTGTAGTTGTTGTTGAATGAATCAGACGATTAACCGTGTGGGGAAACGAACTTCCCTTTAAGTTTTAATTTGCAGTTTGTCCTTTTTCAATTCAGTTGTAGAAGTGAATTATCCTCAGTGTAATGACAAGACAACATGGTACAGCGGGTTTATTCAGTGTTAAATGCCTGTGTTTTGATTTTCTGTCTCTGTTTTAACACTGATGACTTTTTCAGATTCAGACTCTGTCAGTTTTGAACATTATCTCTTTTTTTTTCACATGAAGATCCATCACATTCGGGGCCTTTTGCCCACCTGAGAACCCCTGTCTGACCTTTATGTAGGAGTCAAACTCTGGGAGACACGTTTCCTTTTTTATTTTTTGCCCAGCTGGCATTAGGTACAAGCAGCTTATGTAGGAGTCAAACTCTTGCCCAGCTGGCATTAGGTACAAGCAGTGGTACCACAGCCCCCCCCCCTTCTCTCCTCCCCCCACTTCAACCCCTCCTCGGTGGTCAAAAGCTGACTTTCCAGAGGGGATGAGAGACAGACTGAGGTGATGAATCTGCAGAAGTGTGGCTCGCCTCTATGACCCCGCTGCCTGGAAGACTTGGCGTGCTCCAGGGGTAGTCCAGGGCACGGGCAGAAGAGCCCACAAAACTCAGCTGTGTTTGCATTGGGCTTTTAAACTTAAGGTGGTTTCACTTCTCCTTTTCACTTGGACACACACACTCACACACTCACACACTTGAGGTTCACAATGGTAGCATGTTTGGATGATTTGCATTAAGCAGCCGTCTGCTTCAGTTAATCCCCCTGTGCTTTTGAAGCTCAGGTGGCGCTAAGTCTGTTAGTGAAACACAAACAGTGCTGATGCATCATGGAAATGTGATACTAATTACCAGTGCTCATCTACAATAGGGCCTTGAGTCACCACGTTAACCGCCATCTCCTCGCCGTTTGTACCTGCAGAGCTGAGATTGTAATACACACACACACACACACACACACATCTCACAGACGTACATAAAAGGTGCTGACTGCGGCAGTTAAGTTGCTAAAGTGCCGCGCTATCTTGCAAAACCATTTCGCAATGCTCGCCCCTGCTCTTGCTTACATGGGTGCATTCAGGTCAAGTTCATGCTCTGAAGAAGCGGTTCACAGCCTCACACACACACAGAGACACACAACCACACACAGACACACACCACTTTCTTTCTCACACAGAAACTTTGCATATTTTTTTTTCTTACAACACATACTGGAAATATGTAGCTTCAATTTCCCTCTTATTAATGTTTGAAGCTGCATTTGTTTTTGTTAACAAACAACTGTTAAGCTGCACCACGTGTATTCATGTGGCAGTTAAAGCAGAGCTGCGTTAGAGCTGTCAGAAAACAAGACAACCTTTTTCTAGCTCGAAACACCTGCAACCGCAGCACATGCATATGCACATGCTCTTTGAACAGGCGGCAGTGGTTCCCAGCCCGCCCCACGGGTTTGTTTGTTTTCCCTAGTGCAACCAAAGAGCAGTCAGTGTCAGCTGTCCATACGTCCGTCCTCCCGTCCTCCCGTCCTCCCTCTCTTCATCGGAGGTAATTCCCTCTAAGGAGCTCACACTCTGCCGGGGTCAGAGTTCCACTCAAACAACACTCCTAATGTTCCAGCGGGCTTTCATTCCACTTTTGAAAGTTGTAGCAGTGGAGCCCACCAGGATCTTGGTAGCATATTATCATGTCAGTCACGTAGCCGTAACAAAATGGCGATACGATACAAAGACGTGTTTGGGAAGATATGAGACAAGGTTAGGTAACTGCAAAAAGGTATGTTTATTTTGTGACATTAGGAGAATACGTTAGTAAATAAATTAGGTAGGAGTGTAGAAGAAAAACACTACGCTAGTATGACCAAGATGGCAACGACCTGCCGAATAATATTTAAATGAGCTGTCAAGCGGTTCTTGTCGGTTTGAGTGTCTCGTCCACTTTCAATCTGTGTTCCTTAGGTCAGGGTTGAGTGACTGACAAGAATGTAAGGGAGGCCATGCCCCGCTGGGTGGCATGCATACCGGCATAGAGTAGGCCTGTGGGGGGGAGTCTGATGTTTTTTATCTGATCAAAAAGCTGCTGTTTGTCATAAACACCGTGATTTATGCCTCTGTCAGGGGCCTTTATCTGGCATCTTGTTCCATCGTAGGTTCTATGTACGCGGGCTGCGACGTACAAAAGTTCTGTTGAAAGAGTTCCTTCACAGCGTATTTCCGAGGAGCCTCCTGCGTCGGTGCCGTGTGGGTACAGGGAGTTACATAAGGCTTTTTCATGGTTTTTGCATGGCTTTGTTTGTGTCAGCACACCTTCAGGAGTGCAGGGTATATATGTGTGTGTGTCAGTGTTTGACTGTGCCTGGTTGGCAGCTGTGCAAACACTGTTTGGGTGATCCAGGCTCCTCCTGATGTGGCATGTGCATGGATGGTACCAGGCAGAGCAAAACTGGTCAGTGTCAAACTCGTTCACTGAGCCAGGGAAACCATATCAGTGTGTGTTTGACCCTGTTCTGTCCAAAATAGAGCGTCGGCGAATCGATCACCTTCTCTTTGTTTCTCTTTCTGCCCATTCATGTGTGTTACAACACATCGGTCGGTCCTTCAGTTCAACCTGTGTGTCAATAATTGTTCCTCTCGCTTATCAGATTTTGTTGCCCGTAACAACATCAAATTATTACAGTGCGTGGGTCCCACCTTGATGCCAACCTAACTAACACACGCCTTAATGGTCCTTTATGACGCTTAGTCATACGCTGCAGCGTGTTAGCACTGGAAACAGCGGCGTCCTAAATCGCAAGCACATGGTTGAATGGAGGGGGAGATGTTTCAAGGTGAAGTTGAATATGACGGTAATAAATATCACTAAATATGAATCTGAATTCAAACCGGAGGTTGTCCCTTTCCAAATAATTATTGCACAAAAGCTTTTGATTTCACTTGGAGTCCACATGAAAGCCCCCCACCAAAACAAAGGAAATATGTTCTCTGGGCAGGGATATAAAGCATTAACCAGCTTTTTGTAGAGGGGAAAAAGTGTAATCACTCACTCACTCACACGGTCCCTCCTCTTTCTCTCTTCTGTGTCCACACCTTTCTGCAGGCCGCATGAGTTTTTTTCTGGACACCTTGATGTGGTATTGAGTGAGTTCCTAAGTAGTGCACTTTGTCCCATCCCCATTCATCTCTTCCTAGTAATCCCTGAGTCATGGCATGGAACGCCTGCCTCACCACATGCCACTACTAGCTGTCCGACTTCACGTCTGCTTCACTCGCTTACTGGTTTTGAGTTCATGCCTCCTTGCTCACATTATCTTTCTTTCTCTTTTTTAGACTGTTAGCTGTAGCGCTACCTACAGTCGAATGACAACTCTGCCAATTTCATAATCAGTCGTTAAAAAAGGCTGCATGTTCACCTCAGACGTCCCTCTGTCTACAACACGGCCACGCCACTCGTTTTGTTCGCTTTATGTTTCTTCCCCTTGTTGTTCTCTTTCTGTGTATTTGCTGCTCGCCACCTGGTTCTGGGGTCGGTATTGCGTGCTGCTTTTGTAATCAGGACAACAAATGGGACCCAGCTACGGATTTTATGTGTATCAGACCTGCAGGAGCAGCAGCACCAGAGCTGTGCAGATTGTTTGGCCAACGGAAGAAAAGAATGATGTGGGCGGGAGGCTCTGTTGTGTAGGTGTTATTCTCTGGGACTAATGAAGAGTTGGGACCTGATGACTGACTGGGATGGGATGTGCGTTGTTTTGTCTTTTGTTTTTTAGCCTGGTTGTCGGTGGAGATGGTGTTAGAACAACATCACTATTGTCTGCTTAATAAACTCAGGTGGTGAAATACCGTAGTTTGACCTCCAAATATTCTTTAAACGGCAACTGAACCACAGAGTGGAATTTTTTCACTTGATGTTATATGACCACTGCTCTCACCCTGACCTCTCCTTAGAGCTGAGTTTCGAGCACATCTTTTGACGTCCAGTCATTGTTTAAAGATCTGAGTCATTCCCTGACTGTACTCATGTCTGGTCTGTTCCAACAGAAACGTAGAGAGATGTGAAAAAAAGGCAGGGCAATTTATTGACTTTCATATTCCTGAAGATATTTTCAATTTTCCTTTTGCGCAGAATTAAAAGAAAAGAGAGTTTGATTTTCTTTTTCGGTCTTCTTTCTTCCTTGAGCTTAAAATAGACTAGTAATTCATCCTTCTGATCTGAGATAATTTTTCAGCTTACACCCAAAGTCATTTTTGGTCACATTAGAGCAAAACAAGAAAGTCGTGAGAAGCACATTAGCGATTGTAAAACAGAGGTGGAATGCAAGGCACGCAACATGAAAACACTGTGGTCTTGGGGAGGGGGGGTGTGGGGGTGGGGGGTTATTTGTTAAGTATCCATCTGTCGTCCATAGCTTGCCTTCAAAACAGTCCTACGTACTGTACAGTATGTATGATGGATAATGAGAGCCAGGCATCACAGGACAAAAGAGATTCACATATTACACAGGACCGTAAATGTGTGTCTGTGTGTGAAAAAAAAACAGCCCATGAATTTACACTTGCATGAAGATCCTGGTTGTGGAATGCATCCGTTTGGACTAAACGGGGCAGGCACCATGTTTTCTGGAAAAAATGCTACATAGAGAGTAAACTGTTTGTCAGATATGTCATGTGTTTGGTTTAATGCCTAAACAGTCGCCCCAGAGCATCTCCTGTCTGTTTACAACATGGACGCAGCCCAGGAGGGGCAGCTAGCTTTGGTTATAGCTAGGCTTGGACATGCACACACACACACACACACACACATACGGTCGAGTGTGTGAATGAAATAGATGGTAACAAATATGTATACTGTAAATATTTGACATATCCTCTCCTTACATTTGTGTGTGATTTGTCTAAACTTTTCCCCCAATAATTATCTGGCTGACTTTAAAAAATAATGGAGAACTTAAAGGTTGTGCAATTGGTTCTTGTGAAAAGGCAGTGCTGTTTTTTAACATGTAATACTTGAGGCACATCTAAGATCTAGATGATTTCACACTGTTTAGCATGAGTAAAAGAACAAATATTCAGATATAAAAAAAAGATCACACACATAAATCCTTGTTTGTTTCTATTCCACTCATTTTGCTGTAAAAGATTATAAACACTGATTTTTATTTTTTAATTTTTGCAAAATGTGTTTATTCTCTGTCTGGGATGACATAAAATATCATTTCTAAATCCAAACTAATGTCATATCCAGCTCTTAGACCTTGGCATAAACAGCACAGTTAATGCACTTTAGCGTCATAAGCTAATATGATTTCAGAGATGGAGGAAGGGAAAGAAAAAAGACAGCAGTGGGGTATCAGTCTCACTCATTGTCTGCTGCTGTAGCCAGTGTGTCTGAGGCGGCGATCGTCCTGGACACAGACCATGTCAGTGGTGGTACAGCTGCTCTGGTCCACTGTGGTGCTCACGGATGGCCTGAAGGCAGTGGTGAGAATTAAACCAGTGTTTCTGAACTGTTTTCAGTCTTCACTGGATCTTCCTGGTTTATGCATGGAATCTCGTCCCTTTAACACTGTCCTGATTGAAGCGGGCTCGGGTCAAAGTTTGGTCGGGTTTTTTTTTTTTTTTTTTTTACACTTTCTCGCCCCATGCCTTACACATCTATTCCTGGCTCACTGGCATTGAGATGGAAATCTAAACAGCGGAGCAGCTGGATGAACAAGCGGCCCTCTCAAAAACCAGACTGCCACCCTGGTCCTTCTCCTGCTCTGCAGCAACCCTCCGCAACCACTTTATCACCCACTGGTGTTGAATAGGCCCCCTTCATGTTGGTGGAGTTTATGACCCTGCATTCTCAGACCTAGCGTTCAGATAAAAATCTCCTTCAAATGCATTCTCAGAAACCACTGACACCTCTGACCTGATGTATGTCGGCGGTTCAGGATTAAAGAGATGATTAGAACGGCCCTGGCAAGAAGCCAAGACCATTTTGTTTTTGTTTCTTTCCTTTTCTACGCCTTGCTTTGATGCTACAGATCTGTTTGCTCTGAACATATAGAAAAATACTGCAGAGTCAGTGGTGTAACTTTAATGACCTCACCTTTCATAGGAAGTGACTGCAGGAGATTGACTTACAAAAAGGAAACATGTAAAACTGTTAGCTTTCAACACCATACCATTCGACCTGTCAGTTGAACTTCTTAGTAGTATTTATAGATTTGTTGTGTAATAGGTACAACGTTGTCCCTTAGTCTTAGGGCCCGCTTGCTTGTTGTGCTTGTCTTGTTGCATCACTCTGTGTGGAGGCAGCAGTCTAGGCTTTATGAATGAACGAGTCTCCGCCAAAGGCTGGGAGATGGCACGGATCCCACTGTGATGTCACTCCAGAGACCAGGAGAAGAGAGGCAGCTTCATAAGACCTCCCCTTCATTCATCTCTCTCCACTCTCCGTGCGGATCTTTTTCTCTTTTGCTCTCCCTCGGTGCCCACCCCCAGTTCTCTGTCCCGTGATGGGTTCGTATTACAGATCGGTGACTCACTTACCCGCTCACCCCTCCCTTTTGCCTCTTAATGTACATTATCACCCCTCACCCACCATGATGCTCCCATGCTGTCCTCCCCTCTGGCCCTGCCCTGCCCATCCCTGTTTGTTTCATCTCCGTAGACTTTGCACCCGGCCACAAAAATCCCATTATCACACCCACGCGCTGACGTGCAGGCAGAGATGATTACTACTTTGGTACATGTTTGTGAATGTGTGGGTCAGTTGTGTAGCCAAAGGTGCCAAAAAAAAAAAAAAACTCTGCCCAAGGTGGGTTCGGACTGGGCTGAAGGGTGCACAGCCTGCTGGAGCTGTGAGAATTCCTGGGAGGAATCTCTCCATCGCACTCAGCCGACAGTCCATTTATCACGGCAGTAGGGGAGTGGCTGATCAATACTCTTTACTGTACATTTACATCCAGACAAAACATCAGACTCGTTTTTCACACAAGTCTCTTACTGAATGGATGAAACTAATTCTTCTCCATCATTACAAATCAGAGGAGTTACATGTCTCGGTCTCTTTCCACTCAGTCTCGCTATCGAAAATGCGAATGCCATAATGTTGCCCGTGATTTACACCCACTCCTACATTTCGGGGAGCTAAGTGGGTGGACTTATTTGCGGACAGATCCGCACGGTCTAATGTGGAAAGTGATGACTTGTGGATGCTCTAACTCTCAGTGCGTACCGACCATTCTGTATCTAATGGGACTCCCAGGCATTGAAATCCTATCAGGACTCCATCATTTACTAGAGATTGTCTAGAACTGAGCCGGCCCTGTGTACTAATGGACGCACACTGTGCATTAGCTTCGCCGCAGATAACTTTCATTTGCGGCATTCGCTGTGGAGCTCTATTACCGCTACAATTTTGAGTCTTGTGTTTGCCCTGCAGCGTTGCAGTGTCTTCTACTTCACGTATCCTATTTCCACTCAAAACAAAAAAAAAGTTCAGTGCTGACTAAAACGTTGAGATTTTCATGTTCACAGCACAGTTGCACTAACAGACTGAGCCGAGGAGACGTTTGTTTTATTTGAAATGCACAATTCAACAACAGTTAGTAAACACAGCAGTTGAAAATCATCCCAAACATCTTAAACAAGTCCTTCCAGATTAAGAACAAAAGAAATTGCCAAAATTGCACTCCATACTTTACGTGTCTGTGTGATGGCGGTTCTCATATTTCTCTTCCACATGCCTAAATTGTATGTCTTGACTGAGATGAAGTCGAGTGTCTTTGATGGAGGATTTACTGCGAGTAAAGTGGAAGCGAGTCTGTGTGGGCAAACTCAGACTGGGGGCAGAGTTGATAAAAGCCGTTGTGGAGTGAAAGCTGTGAAAATAGTTAGAAAGCTCAGACAAACTCACCTCCGTCCAGCGTCACAAACTGCTGCGTTTCTCATTTGCCCTTACATCAAAGTTCAGACTGCCTAAGCCCGCGTCCCATCTCAGTTTGCAGCCGTTTTTTTGCAGTAGCGTGCACACATTTGGGCGCTACCATCGCTACTTAAAAGAAAAAGGAGCTCAGTTGAGGCTCAGACAGTCGTGATGTCAGGCTTTCACTTGTGTGAAGTGTTAAGGTTTGTTTTGATGTGCTGCCTGCATCTGATAGGAGTGAGCTGGGGTCGGATTTCAGATGTTTACCTTTTTTACTTTGGTCTATAAAACATAACATTCTGCTCGTTCATCGGTCGAACAAAGACTAATTTATTATTACTGGCCTTATTTCACCACATACTGTAGTGAATCATGGGTAACTTGGATGTTCTGTGCCTCGCTCTCGGTTCAAATAGGGGCAAATAGAAGCCAAAGACAGGAATGGGAACTTAAGAGACCTCATTTGTGAGAACGGCCAGACAGACATTGGTTATATGGTTTAAAAGGAGACACAGCTGCTGTGCATTCCAGACAAGGTCGCGACGTCAGCAAGTGTGGAAAACAAGCATTAACTGTATGTTGCTGCGCTGTACTGTTGGCGGATAAAACCGCCAGCCAGCAGAGATGCCAGAACATCTGGGCTCGACAAATGGCATCGCTTTTGGAGAAGTGACTCAACTTTTTTTTCTTAATAGCTCATTTGGCTCCTAGTCCTTGTTTTTGCGAAAAAAAAAAAAGGTTTTATTTGATGAATGAGGAAAACCAGCGTAACCTCATTGACCCCTGAAGCTGGCATACTTTAACCAGCTTAAGACTCAAGTCGCCCTCATGTGTTCTGTTGCCTCAGGCACACTACCCCCCAAGTTGATCACTGACTGGATGGGGCTCTAATGTCACACTGTCACTTGAATAGATCATGATATACAAGCCATCGGCCTTTGTTGTGGAACACTTCGAAACATGGGTGCCTTGGAAATTAACAGATTAAGACGTGAGGTTATTTCCAACTGTATAGAACCATTTGTGTCCATTCACAACTGTCTTGACCCATTTAGCTTTCGGCGGACTATTTTAGTGCTCGTGTCTCAGGGGTCTTTCCCATTTTTCCCTCTAATCATCCACCCAGTTTGCCCCCTCGTCCCACACTTCTGTTCTCCGGTCGATCTAATTAGATGAGTGTGAGTCATCAGGCACTGTTTAAAGCCATCAAAGGCAGCTCTGTTCTCCAGCGGGTGCCCAGTGGCTGCAAATGGAGAACAGTAAGCCCAGTGTATGTGGCTGAGACCCTCTAGACAGCCCACCCGCCGCTTCTCCCAACCACCCGCCAGCAGCTACAGTGACATCATCACCTCGTCCCCCGACCCTTGACCTCACAGAATGTTTGACCCCAGTGCTTGGTGTGGTGACAGTGGGTCTTCTGTGTAAGGGCAACTTAGGTAGACGACCAGCAGGGGCCATGGTGTCACTGGTGGTCAGTGGGCATCGCCCTCCCCCCCCACCGTGGGAGGGAGCAGTGTTTGTTATTTCATAAAATAAACTCACTTCTTTTATTGACACTTAAAATTGCCCTAAAACCACCATCTTTTGTGTACAAAAAAAACCCACAAAAAAACCCAAATAGCTATGATGTAATAACGTGGTTTTTTCTGAGCTATTGCCCCATCGTCGGGTGTTACCTCGGTATCAGAACCATCACAGTGGAGGTTTTTATTTAAATAGATGCACTGTGACATGGAGAAGGTGAAGTAATTGTCAGTTTATCGTACGTCTTTGTTTTTAACCACATTCTCTGCGTGTTTTTTTTCTTCCTAAATATATGTTTCATTTTTGGTCTATAAACAACTTATATAAAACACCTCGTTTTAGCTTTGTGTAAATATAGACATTTTTATTTTGCAGATCCAGAGTGTGGAGATGTTCCCCTGCTGACACCAGGAAGTAAAGAGATGATGTCTCAGGCTCTGAAGGCCACCTTCAGTGGCTTCACAAAGGAACAGCAGCGGCTGGGAATTCCTAAAGGTGAGAATCGGACCACGTTTACGCTGACGTATGAAAGATTACGAAAACTTTGCAGTTCAGCTCAGCTCACTCAGGTTTTCATCCTCTCAGATCCCAGACAGTGGACAGAAAACCACGTGGTCGAGTGGCTAACGTGGACAGTGAACGAGTTCAGTCTAAAGAACGTGGACTTTGACAAGTTCTGCATTAACGGAGCCAGTTTGTGTGCCATGGGCAAAGACCGCTTCCTGGACCTGGCACCGGACTTTGTGGGCGACATCCTCTGGGAACATTTAGAGATGCTCCAGAAAGGTAAAAGGCCGCACTCATTATCAGAGCAGATGACTTCAGACAGAAAACAGAGGCTAAAATGTTGCCGTTAAATCACATGTTACGAAGGAAAAAACCCTCCTCCATTCATACCAAACAGAGTGATAGAACTGTCAAACCGGAAAAGCCGTTTAGCTCAGGTCATTAATTTTTGATCATGATGGATGCAGTTACATGATACATGAAATCAATGACGAGGTCACTGACGCTCTCTATCTATTTTTCATGAAGAGGATACAAAGCATTATCCCATCAATGGATTGACCTCCAACTTCCAGGAATCTCGTTATACCTCAGACTACTTTGGCAGTAAGTACTCCCTCACTCACACCCTATGTGAATCATTTACGTTATCACGATAGGCTTTTACATGACTAAAATGTGAATGGACTTAGGGGGGTGGAGCGGGGGGGTCAGGAAGGTCACTGCATATTTCGTGTGGTAGAGGGGGTCAGGAAGGTCACTGCATATTTCAGTGTGTAAAAAAAACAAAAACAAATCTGAAAAATTCCTTTCAGTCACTTAGAGTCAAGTCTTACTTAGCATCTGACACAGGAGGGATACGAACAGCGCTCTGCTTGAGTTTGATCTGTTCCTCCTGTGCTCCTGCTCCATGCTTACTGTCTGCACTTCATGTCTTCAGGCTACGGTGTTGAGCATGCTCAGTGTGTCCCTCCTTCTGAATACTCAGAGCCTGGTTTCATCACAGAATCCTACCAGACCCTGCATCCCATCAGCTCAGAGGAACTGCTGACACTCAAGTATGAGAGTGACTACCCTGCTGTCATCCTGCGGGACACGCCCCTCAACCCCCTGCAGGGGGACTACTTCACTGTCAAGCAGGAGGTGGTGTCCCCGGACAACATGTGTGTGGGACGCATCAGAGGTGAGACAGACGTTCACAGGACATTAGAACTGATTTTCTCAGGCATGTGCGACTGAATGTTTTTCAACGTTTATTGTGCATCGAGGTGTGATGACGGCTCTGTGGCTGTACATACGTGAACGTTACAGCGCTGAAGGACCAGCCCTTCGTTGGTTTGTGGTTCGTGCAGACCTGCTTCATGCAGTCTCGGTGGCGTAAAGAGGAGAAAAAAAACCCAAATGTGTTGTTTATGTCAAAGTGATACTTGAACCGTAGCCACAGTGTCTTCACCCCCTTTTTTTTTTCGTCGCCTATTCTTTATGTAAAACAGCTCAAGTGGTGTAACCTTCATGATTTTTTTGTTCTCTGGTTTCTTGGCCTCTTTTCTTCAACTCCACTTTGAGGTTCCTGGTAAGAAGATCAAGGCGTCATCTTCAGTTAGCGAGAACTGAGTTTTCTCATTAAACTGTTTGTCTTTCAGCATTCACTGGCTCGTTTCCCACTGATAGTTTACAGAGGAATTAGGAGCAGCGTTTACATTCACAGTCACAAAACGAGCATTTTCATCTCACTAACCCTCAGCTGGATACATAAATAGCATGTGCTGAGTGCATTATACAAGCCCCCTAAAGGTGGTAGGGCATTTTCCTGCAAGGCATGAGGCCCAGCGACCACGCATCACACATACCAACTATTGGGGCGTTATGTTATAAGAGCGTTACGCTCTCCTAACGTGGGAAAGTATTTGCTAACACAACTGCTGTCCACATGTGGTCTCAATTTCACTGCACTGGGAGGATTCTTGCGTCGGTGCAGGCACTGCGTTCGCTGTCATCTGTTAATGACTCACCATTAACAGACTCCTCTTATCTTTCCCCGGGCCCAAAATAGAAAGACAATTGCGCGGCTCCTCCATTAAAAGTGAATTTGAGCTGTGTTTTCGCGAGTGAAATCATCCCTGACATCGACGCAGAATGAGATGTGGCAGAGTCGCGCTCCGGCGTGGCACCTTACGCAATTAGCACATTTCTCCCCTCTCTCGTCACTCACACACACACTCTGTTTCTTCTTCCTCCTCAGGTAAACTGGGGGGCCAGGACTCCTTCGAGAGCATCGAGAGCTTTGACAGCTGCGACAGATTAACCCAGTCGTGGAACAGCCAGTCTTCGTTCAGCAGCCTGCAGCGGGTACCGTCCCA